CTTCTAAGACATATTTTATCTGGTTGAGACTTGTGTTTACCTTACTATAATTCTTTGTGAGGATAATAAAACAGCGCCGTCTGCTCGAGTGAGCAGGTTCGCGCAATAAATGCACACATATCCTTTGCAATGGATATGATGTGACATGTGTTTACCTATGGATTAGCAGAATCGGCCTCGCCTGTTCGCGAGTGCTAGTTTATGCGTTCTCCCACAGATGCCCGGTCGATTGCGTATTTGTTATCGGCAGGCATCCTTAGAGCAATTACAGTGGACGTGGATCCGACATGCACTTCCATTCTTTGTACTGCTTCGAAGTCTCTCTCATGAGGGGTAGAGGAATGGAGCGACCGATCCTGCAAAGAGTATTCTATTTCATCTTTTTCACATGTCCTCGTTGTCTGCTGACTTTTGTTTGAGCCTCGATACCCTCTTACTCCTATTTGCACTACGACGCCACTAATGTTACTGACCCCCAACGAGTACGACCCCCCATGAACCAGCCCTGACAGGTACGACCCCCCTGTCGAGGATTTCCTCGACCGATATTCACCCTGGCACGGTGTCACATGCTACGAGTTGCTTTCGACGTGCTCCCTAGAGGTTTTTTCTGCGCACTCGACGAGAGTCACGACGACAATGTGCACCAATTGTAAGGAGCACAATCACTGTAGGAAAGTGGAGTGTGGCGGTACGCGCAACCGCAAACAGGCGTTCCAATGTTCAACGGCGTCGTTCATTCCAACGTGGACTACGGTGGAACCTATTCACCATACTGATAAACGTTCTTCTCAATGCAGCTGCAACTCTGTAAGAATTTCCTTCATCAAGCGAAGAGAGTACAGACATCAAAACCTTTTAAACTGAGGCTGCGATTCTATTGATGGAGTACATTCCCATCACAATTCTGTAGGTTGTCGTTCTAATTCTCCCACAAAACCACCAGCACTTGCTAATTACATCGTTTTTTGTACCATTTTTGTCTTTACAATCGGAGGAAGCTCCCTCCTCTGCGTTCGCTTCATAGCTTTCGCTGTGTTGACTTCCGCTTATGAGGTCAATACACTGTTGAGGGCACTCCCTGGGCATGCGTATACACAAAGAGGGTATCTTATATGGATCGCGGTCTCTTGTCCGAATAGGGGACATACACCTGTAATTGCTCGACAAAGAAAACATGTACCAAGCCTCAAGGGGGGGGGGAGATTGGCGTACAAAGGGGCACCGAGCAGTTTTTTTTTCTCCTCAGAGATCCTCGCCTTCTGGGCATGGTCTCTCCATCATACCATCCCGAAACAAATAGCGCCAAATTAGGTAGAAAAAACCATGCTCAGGGTTTTTAGTGGCGCCATGTGGCGTTAGAGCACTCCCTGCATGGTGCTTACTCATTCCCTTGACGCTTCGCAGCTGTAGACTGCTGTAGACTCACGCGCTGCTTCCGTGAGGCATGAGATAACCTCACCTCTCTATATTGGGTTGCACCCATCTCTGTTTGTGCATCAAAACAGCAGTAAACCAAGCAAAAACAACAAAACAAGGTGGAAATATTCTATGTTTTATTACTAATACGGAAGGTAGATTGGAATGATTAGGTGAACCTGCACAAGGGATACTCGCAGTAACACAGACAATGTGATGAATAAGAAATGTTCCATGAATCTCGGGTGAAGGGGAAGATACTATGAGGTTTTTCGATTGCTTGTTTGCTCCGATTCCATCTCTGAAAATGGTTTTGAGTAAGTTTACAGATATCTCGAATCAATCGCGTTGAAAGCCCTAGAAAGTGTTCAATATCGAAAGAAACTACGGCTTTCTGTGGGTATTTCATTTTAAAGCGCGGATCGCGATCGATATGGTGTGTTATTGAATGAAGAGGTGCGAAGAGGATCGTTGGTGAGGAGGAAACTTCTGAATTTAGGAACGTTCTCCCTTGTGAAGTCGACCTTGGCAAGCCGGGGAGAAACAGTGCGGCGAGGAGCGGATGAGCGAGAAAGCACTCGAATGCTGCGAATGAGCAGAAACGGCAGCGGTGAAAGCGGTGAAAACGTTATCAGCGTTTTGAAGGACGCTGAACTAGGTGCATCCGAGAAAAGCGCGGAAAGTTAAGCGCCAGTGAAAGAAGTTGTCAGGCAAAGCATGCGAGGTGTGGCGTTTTTGCTGCGATCGGATTCACTTGCAGCGCAGTTGAGCTCCAAACTAGAAACCGTAGCGCTCCAACACCGCTCCGCCCAGCAGTGCAGAACATAGTAGCACTGTTCGCTTTTTATCCCGAGATTTCACTTCGTGAGGCCGTATCCTTTGTTTTAGTTCGCCTAGGTAACCAATCAAGGCATGATGTTTGCCGATGTGATGTCGGCTGTCGGGGTAAACACGTCTAAAGGACCTCTTCCTTGGTTGAATAGGCACAAAGAGATCCCATGTTAAACTGTAATCCCCGGATCCGCCTAATTTCTTCCTCACTGGCGCACCCAGGACCCACCCAGAATCTAACATGATCGGCTGCCTTCAGAGGCATGCCCCAGGACCAAGCTGATGTAGTGCTCGAACAAGAATATGAAAGTATGACGCAAAACGGGCCAGCTGTCAAGAAAAAAGAAAAAAGAACATCGAAAACGCCGGAGTTAAGGGCTTGCTCACCTTCGTGGCGGCTGTGCTAAGGAAATGAGGGACTGGGCGCGAAGAGAAGCGCAAACAGCAAGATCGGAGTTATTGAAGCTGCCATGCAAGGCCTTACCGTCTTTGTCGGAGGATTTCCATGCACGCGAGTGCCACATCTGTGATTGTCCTTAAGGGGTTTATCCAACCGATCATGGGAAATCACACGACTTTTGCCTCCGTTGTTTTTGGTAGGATTGGACATTCGTTTTCGGGGTAACCCAGAAACACATTTGAGAGAATGTTGAAAAGCGAGTATACCTGATATGACATTTGCTCTTCTTTTCCACTATTACTTTAATTTCCCCGTATAGCCGTATATTAAGGAGGGGCACAAGCATAAATCAGGAATATTTGCGATTTTAAGCTCGCACATTTTGCTTCAAAGGCCAGTATCAAATGAAAAGCCAATGGTCAAAAAATACCACAAGGAGAATTGAACAGAATCGACAAAGGACGAACGAAATTATTGAAACTGGATCAGAAAATGAACGGTCCCTATGATTAAACCAACCTAGTTGTTAATTGCCCTCAAAATCGTTGGGAAATTCCGGACCACGCGAGGATTTCTCGTTGAAGTTGGCGTTCTTGTAACTTAACCAGAAAAATATCACATGAAATATAAGAACCTTCATTTGATTTCCACAACATGCATGCAGAACGAGTGGGAGGGGTGCGAAGCGCAAGGAGGCTGGCATTTGTTAGTAAGCTTGATAATCAAAAGGTCCTAGATATATAGATAGGTATAATACAATTGAAACTAGCCGATTGAGGCAAGGTTAAGCCATAATCAGTTCACGTTCGAGCTGCCCCTGCAGTTCCCCCAGTGTTCAGCTTCGCGAACGGAGCGGCTTGCAAATCGCGCGCAGGATTCCACGTTTAGGTCGGAGTGTCGGAGTTCGGAGTAAGGGAAATTCGCTAAGTCCAAAGGTGAGCGGGCCTCTCAAAGGCAAACCCTGAGAGTAAACTGGCGTTATAAGCGCTTCGTGTGATAGCTTACCTGCGGAACGACCTGAAAAGGGGAGGATACGAAAGAAGGCTCTGAGAACGCTCCAACTAAGGCTAACCTTCAGATATAGGTAGCATGTGTAAATGCGACCAGGGCTATCAAAGAGACACAAATGGTCGATGACATAGGCTCGTTTGAGAGAGCACATGATCTCTACATCAATGCACGCTGATCTCACCATCTCTCGCGGTGGGTGGGAAGCGTTGGAATCGGGGTCGATGGTTGCAGACCCGTAAGGACTAGCGCCCTAACCGCGCAATTTTAGCGACGAAGCTGGAGTGATCTAGGTAGGTACGACCTACCACAATTTCCCTCGTGGTATCCCTCCCACTAGTAGGCTAATTTCGGGGTTTGCCTTCAAGGGTGCAGGGCTGCGCTTTCTGCAGCGTGGGGTATGCCCCAGTGACCCATCAGTGTCGTACCCGCGCCGCTCGTAACTCTTTACGTCCAGCCTCTCATCGTCTGAATCTAGCTGTTTGGCAGAGAGAGCGTTAGCGTTGAAGAGAGCAGCACCAATGGTAGTCGCATCAATGCGACTATCATATTTTCATTTTGCGCAGTATAAACGTTCAGCTTATCTATAAAGGGAGTAAATGATGCGACACGCGAGCTAGATATTCTAGGATTCCCATTTTAACGATTATTAAACCAATCAGCTAACAACTCACTAGATTTTCGTGTAGAATCTTGAGCGTCAGACAGCTGCTCTAATACAAATTCAAAGCAGTTATTGCACGCAATGATAACAAGCGTCAATGTTCAGGAAGCAAAATCATTGCAATGGTAGGAGTTTTTGAAGTCAATGAGCCCGATGGCTGGAGAGCGGGCGGTTTCGATGACGTCATTGGAGGTATTGTAAACAGTCAATCAACTGCGGTGGGCGTTTGTCCGGACAGGGTCAACCGTCCATTCGAACTGTTCGAACGAAGGGGTCGCATTTTGGTCGGAAGGGGGTCGCAATTCGAGGACTGCCAGCCACAGGCGCGTGCGTGCGTATCCGAGGGCAAGACTTGCTTGTGCAGACCGCATTATTATGCACAGAGACCAGTTTTAGCAAACTACAGTGTTTTCTTAAGGAATAAAGAACAGTTGGATGCATCCCTATGAAAGGTTTGACTTCTTGGGCTGAAAACAAAGTTCTTTGGAGACCTATTTTTTCGGAATGTACTGTGAACACGTGAGAAGCGGAAAACTCGTAGTCTTCATAAAATGTTTATCCCTCTCTCCAACAAGCTCTTTGAAGGAAGTTATCATTGCTGAAAGCTCAAAAACTCGCATGTGCTGCTCAAAAACCCATGGGAAAAAATGTTCGAACGTGTGATTTTCTCGAAAAATGAACTTTGAAAAACGGCTTGGTGCTTGTTAGAAAGAGCAAATCCTGTACTTTCCCCATGAAAAAAGTGCATCACAGAAATGAAAATGAAGTGAGTTATGGTCGCTGAAAGCCCAAAAACTCGCTTTTGCACGAAAAATGTTCGAACGGGACAATTTTTTGAAAAAGGGGACAATCACTAAACTTTTTATACTGTTTTGTTAGAAAATTTGAAGTTTCTGAAACTTTTTACAGCTTTCCAAAAGGTTTGGCCGTACAAAGAATTATGGGCCTTCAAAAATTTTTTTTTTTTTTTTTTATCTTTTATTTTTAAATTTGAAGGTGCGCCTTCTTAGAATTTTGGGTTTTCCACTTCTAACAGAAGTACTTTCCGGAGAGTTAGGCAATCCTTGTAGTTTTCTGGAAGCGCACCTCAGGCACAATCAAAATCTACCTCAACAAGTCAAAAAAGTACGTCCCAAGAAAGTTATTCCCCTCTAAAATTTTTTCTTCGCCGCGTCCCGTTCTTCCAGCGCCCGGGTGATACCTGCCGCGCTCCAAGGCTGACGCCGCAACGCAGACGCTTTCTGCGGCGGCGGCGCAGACGCTTTCTGGCGCAACGGATTCATGTCTAGCACTCTTATTAACAAAAACAGGGGGTCGCAACTGGACCCCCTCGAGAGCTAGGGGGTCGCAAAAATCCCGAAAATGTTCGAACGTGACGGTTGACCCTGGTTTAACCCTCTGGCGTACTAACTTAAAACTCGTCTGATGAAGTTGCGCTATCGATGGAAACACCGTTCTTAATTGATCTCTAGCAAACAAAATACCATGAATTTTATCCCGGGTTTAAATAATTCTCAATGATTTGTGTACCCTGCGACATTTCCCTTCTCTTGGGCTCGAGATCAAAAGCAGAATTAGCCAATTAGACAAGAAATTCATAGCTATAGTAGAGCTGTAGAACTACTTATTGCTGTTTTTCTACATTTTGGAAATGGCGAGTGGTCCTCGGTTTTTGAAAAAGTTACATCGATTGACTAATTACTGCTAATGCATCTTCGTACCTAATTTTCCTACATTCATCTGGTGTGGAATCTTCCAAAAAACAGATTTTAGGTCAACTTACTTGGACCTCTTGCTATCCCATTTCGGAGCTCGAAATGCGGCTGATGCTCTCCGTATCAGCGTTGACGTTCCAGCGTTTTCTACAAAAGTTGGATGACAATGCTACTCGGAAAAATTGAAAAGAAGGCCCTTTCTTAATAATGAGAGTATTGCGCTTTCGGTATGCCATCCCGAAGAATGAGTGCCACTGGACCCATCCCGCACAAAAATGTGCAGCTCTTCTTGTCAAAATGGGGGAAATAAAAACAGCCTCATCGATAGGGGCAGAAGTGGTGTAATGACAAGTTGTGGTGCTTCACGCTGCGGTTCGGGAATCAAATCCAACAATAAGTCTTGCGTCGTCGGCTGCCCAAGTCTTCCATCCCTCCTGGTCCCTAGTAGTCTATCTGTGTAGGAGGATAAAAACACCGAATTGCAAATCTGGTCCTCGCAAGTAATTGTACAGGTCAAATCGCATTCATTTTGCCACCAACAAGGGAGGTCTTTCAGGGCAAGGTGCGCTTTTTGGAAACGGTTTGTGCATATTGTAGGGACGCATGTATGGACCACAAAACCATGTTTCGTTTTCGCTGAACGGTTTTAGTAGTACCAAAAAAGTGGTGAATAATACTCTTGATGGTTCGATCCCCCGCGGCGACTAAATTTTGCAATCAAGGTTGGCGGCCACTTGTTGGCTTCAAAATGGTCCTGACGATGAATTTGACATCTGATTTTGATATTTAGCGCAAACCGTAGGCGCCAACCGGTCGCCACGGGGGATCGAACCCTTAACAGTACCTTATGCTTTTTTGGTACTGCTATAACCGTTCAGCGAAAATGAAACATGGTTTTGCGTTCCCTACATGCGTCCCTACAATATGCACAAAACCGTTTTGAAAAAGCGCACCTTGCCCTGAAAGACCTCCCTTGTAAGATTCTGGATGGAGGTACAGGGTGGGGCATAAGTTAAGTGACAAGATTGAACCACAGCAAATGCATTTACGGAACAATGAGCAAAGCTTATGACTAGACCTTCAGACTTGCCATTGCCTTGTACATATAGTTTTACTGTTTCATGATTCACGATCTTTATTTGGTGAACGGCTCCACCTAAGCCGAAACTAATAGGATTTCTAGTCTCAAGCGCTACCGGGTGGATGCTTTGCGAGATCTGCCGTATCTGAAATGCATCGCAGCCGTGTAAGACTCGGATGAGATAGTACATAATTATCTTCCTTAGAAGGTCGATCGGTTGTGTTGGAACCTGTAGAATGGCTGAGGAATGTTTCGCAAGCTATTCCCGCGGATTTATTAAGGACACAGATAAAGTGACTACAAATTCGGCGAGTATCAGGATCAACAGTGCGAAGCGTTTCGCATGCCACCCTGTAGAATGCGGGACGTGATGAATTGAGCATCCCAAAAGGCAGGAATGATCAACACCTAATGTTCATCCTTTCATAAATACCTTATTTCTTATATCTATAACATATTATCTACAACATAATATCTCTTATCAAAAACATCGCGACTTTGTCCATTTTAGACAATTCAATAGCGATCCAACTCTGGAAAGATTCAACTAATCGAAAACACTTTAATTCTTTTTACAATCGCAGACGCTAGGAACTTTGATCGTGTTTCGATTTTGTATTGCAGAGCATGGATGATTCTAATCCTATCCTTTGCTCCTGCTGAATTAAGTAGTACCGGTAATTTGTGAAAGATAAAAACGTCACTCAAAAGGGGTCGGTGTGCAGGACAGATACGTCCTAATGATTGCGCTTAATATTCCCTATGATGTTAAAGCTGCAATCGATATTTAGATTCATATGAAGAGGACGAACCTTGTAGATTTGAAGGTGGTAAAGCATAAGCGTCGGCTGCTGCCCCAGTAGTTCGAAATTTGCTCCAGTAACACTAAACATCAGATAAATCACAGGTTTTGCGGAGGAATCACACACTGTCCAACCCTATCGAAATTGCATTTGAAAGAGTCAGCTACTAATTGCTCTCACATCAGGTTTGATGTTCACATGCTGATAGTTTATTTTTTGATTTTTTTTCTAGGTTTTCTATTCAAAGTAAACAGATGAAAACAGTAGGAAGCTGGTCAATACTCACCGCGGACGTGATGGAGTGATTCGAACGGATGCAGAGCCTATAAAAAGTGCCACACATTTCCGTACACCTTCTCTAGGCTTAATCATTGAGGTACATATGCCCTGCTGAGGAACACGACAGGGGCCCGGCGTGCGGCGGGAAGGCAGGCGAGTTGCAGCGCGTGCTGTGTGAATAGGGATGTACTGTAGTAGATGCTGCTAAACGCGCTGCCACTAGTCCGCTGACCTGTCTGCATGTTCGCCTTCTCACCACACGACGGGCCTCCTGTCGCGTACCCATTTTGCTGTAGGCTAGCGAGGAAGGTCTTCTAGAGTTTGCCCACTCTTGCGAAGTGGTTTTCTGAATAATATAGGAGCTCGCGCGTGGAGCACAGAACTATGGCTCGTTTTTCTGAGCGGTCCTCTGCATGCCAACAAATTTCTTGTGAGGATTGTCACCTCTGTATGAGATTCAGAGGGTCGCTCAGAAAAAAAGCAACTATAGCCTCAGACTCCACGGACTCCTTTATCAGGCAAAATCGTTTTCAAGAAGAAAAGCTTGATCTGAAAGAGCTTCCTGGTTAGGTGGCCACAGCACTGTGTCAATGGACAGCGCACTATCGATTACTCCTGCTGCAACTAAGCTAGTGATATGATTTCCAATCATTAGTCGGAATATGCGTTCACGTGCCTATACGGCTTGGCGACTGCAGCTTTCCTCCTCTCGCTTTTAAAGGAGACTCTCTACATTTCAAAAACCATGTCACTTTTACCCTACAGAATGGCGAAATCGCCTGCCTGTACATACTATGTTCTGCTGACGGAGCCTACATGTACTTGTCGCGAATACCTAGCACCTTGACGACAGCGCGGCAACTATGTATGCCGCCATTTTGCACCACATCGGACATCGCGCCAACTATGTATGCCACACCCATTACATTTGTTTTTTGTTTTATTATTATTATTTGTATTAGTTCTATTATTTTTATCATTTGTTTTTATTTTTTTCATTTTTTCATTAATTTTTATTTTTTATTTTGTTTTAAATGATTTTGGAACCACTGAAGCGAAAGTACATGAGTGACTTCTCATAGCAATAACCCGTTATTTGAAGGCAGCGATTACGACAGATTCTGGAGGGCTTACGGGGACGTGCGGTCTCAATGATACGCCAATGGCAAAAAAAGCAAGAAATCCGTCAAAATAAGCAAAAGTAGTACCCCTTTGATTGCCCTTTCATTTTCGACCATGGATGAGCGACGGACAAAGAACGAAGTTGTTCGGACGTGTTAACCCCGATAGCCGCCATCATGCCAACAAGCATAGTGTTTTGATTGATAAGGCATTACATGGGCAAGTTGGAAGATACAGCCGCTAAAAGGGAAATGATCTTCCAAAATGAAAAGCCAACAGCAAACAGCTCGCCCAGTCACCAACTGAACTAGTGGGCGTAACGCTTTCGGGGCGGAGTGCTTCGGAAGTCCTGCTCAGCAACAGGGCACCTTTCCACACTTCGCTTTCTTGGCAGCCAAGTAACTGCTTCTTGTGGCCCATATACTCCCCCGATGCGGCCCTTCCTTATCGTAATATCGCTTCCTTTGAGCCGCTTTAAGCCGAACTTCCCTCACTGTAACTCCCCTTAAGATGAATGCATTGGACAATAATGAAAACATTCTGTCGCAGGCAAATTTTTACATATTTGCAGCTCAAAATCCATAGCCATGCAGTGATGTGACGGCACTTGCAAAAACGTGTCGTGCAAGTCCCACACGGCCAAGGCCAAAAGTCGCTATGTCGTCGACCTGATAACTGGCCGCTCTCGCAGTATAGGGCATCTTCTAGGACTTACCCTAAAAGGGGCAGAAGGGACTTACCCTAAAAGGGGCAGAAGCTACGAGAAAAACAAAAACGGCTCAGGCATCTTGGAGTCTCTTCGCCTCGCCTAAAGCCTAGCCCCGTTTTAACCCTTTGACGACCGTGTGGCCCGCCGGTGGGCCACACTTTCGCTCGGTGGCGACACGTTTTTAGGGTTTATTTTGGCATTTTTTATGTTTCAAAACTACACAAATACATCATCGAATTCGCGGAATAATGCGCTAATTACTAATAGTGAAATTGTTGGAAAGTTAATGATTATTGATGAAAAAATTTAGAAAGAAGTGAAGTGACGCATTCATAACGGCGGTCGTCAAAGGGTTAAAGCGAAGACTCGTATAACTTCGTATAATGCTTGCCATCATAATTTCCCCGTATGTTGCGATAGCGCCCTTAATGCTACTATTTTCTAGTAGCTTCCTGTGAATCAGAACTTGTACAAAGCAGCGAATGTGGCCTTACGTCTAAAGAAACCATAAACGTGAATGTTAGGTATTCGGGCAAGGAAAACTTCGAAGTGGGATGATCACATTTACTTATAAAGCCAATTCAGCTTCAAAATATTTACCAACGGCTACTGATTACTCTATGCAATAGTTATGTTTAGTTGCTTTTGCTTCAATTACTTCCCAGATAGTTCCAGCACACAAAGTCGAAATTAGAAGAATTTACCTGGTGCTGACAATGGGCGACTCGGCGATAAACGGCTCGGAGGCGCTGGTCGAATTGCAGCGCCATTTCTGAACATCTTTTTTGCACAATAAAACTAACGATCAGAGCGGAGAAAAGCATTGGCTATATGGACAACAGAACATACCCTGTCATTCGCGGAGGTGATGGGGGACGGACTCCTGGCGGAAGTGCACCCATTGAAGGTGGTGCTGCGAGTCCAGGAGGTGGAATTGGGAAGTTCGGAAATGGTCCTGGGTTTGAATTTGAAAAGGACATTGAGACTGGTGCGGATGGTTGTGTGAACCTAGGTACAGCAGGAAATGATCCCGGGTACCCATCGGAGACACAGTACCGAATTCCTGGAAGAGTATGGGGATACACTGCATATCCAGGAGGCTTTATGGGATATCTGGTGGTTCTACGGGTGGTTGTTGTGGGGCGCCGAGTGGTTCTTGTGGTTGGCCTTCGAGTAGTGGTCGTAGTACGTCTAGTAGTGGTTGTAGTGGTTCTACGAGTCGTGGTGGTAGTGGTGGGTCTGGTCGTAGTCCTAGTGGTTGTACGTGTGGTCGTTGTGGGCCTTCTAGTGGTAGTGGTGGTTGTTGTTCTGGTCGGTGTTGGTGTTGCACGGGTCGTTGTAACGGTGGTGCTCGTCATTCCACTGAAATATTCAACCATAAAATCCAGCCGATTCAAAATTTGATTCTTTGTTAGAATAGAGGTTCTAAAAAGTTGATTAGCGTAACCACTTTGAATCTCTGCAATTTCTATCATGACAATTCCTTGAAGGCAGGGCGTTGTCGTTTTGATAAAGTCTTAGGGGAAAATGCGTTGATAGACCGTCCGCACCCACTCCCAGCTCAGTGAGGTGTCTACTCAACCAAAGACATTCAGTGACATGATCAAAACCACGCTTTTTAGCCCGTCAGGATCAGTGCTTTCAAAACCACAGATTCCATAGACAAATCCCCATATCTCACAAATGACAAAAGCACAACCAAAAAGGGCGCAGGGTCTTCACAGCGACTGTGTTAGCTCACTGGCTGTATATCACCTTTTACCAAAATTCATGCTCTAGTGAGATAAGTTACATCACTTTAAGGACATGTAGCACCCATAATGTTCTCCTGCTCTACTGAGATACACTGCTAAAAGCTCTAGAAGTGAAGACTCTTCTGACTCTTCTGGCAGTGCTGCTCACGCCTTCTGCTAAAAGCACCGTTCGCCATTTGTGGAAGACCTGAGTTTAAATTCTGTGCTGCATCCTGTTCCTCCTCTTCTAAGTGGTTTAGTTGTAACCGAGATTGTTGAATGGGTAAGATTTCAACCACCATAATGGACCGAATAGACCGAACCACCGCTAAAAAATTTTGTAAGTTCTTATATGGAATGGATTGCGATTCTACTCAAAGGACAGACTCACTGCGGATTCATAGAAGCGCGCATAGCATTCGATTCCTTTAGGCATTTCTCTCCGTTAATGAGGAGCACAGTTCCTAACAACAGAATTCCTGGTGAAGTTGCGGCTCGAAAGTGCGCGAAATGGGCCTCGAACGCGGATTTCTGGTATTACGTGGTTTTTCTACGCCGCATAAGCATAAGCATTGCCTCCTCCATCCTGGCATAAGCTCTAAATATCAGAACTTATTTCATAATTTCCCCCTCTACTTGAGCGGCGAGTCCTAGTCGTAACTGTACGCTCGAAATGTGAAAAAAAGCCCCTTTGTATCAGTAATATTAAGACCTTATCATAAAGTAATCGATTGAGTAGTAGTGGTAATTAACGATCCAATTGTCCAAGTTTTCAAATTTGTCGGGTAAATTACAACCGCCACAACGGCCTCACTTGGCTGGTATCCATTTGAGCCACATTTTGTGCGACAATCGCACGTATAATGCCTTACATACCAGAGGGCAGCGTAACGAAAATGGGCAAATTTGAAAGCTGCATTGATAGAAATCAGCTTATCAGGTAAAGGGTCTCCTCTTTGGCTGCCCTAAGAGTCAGATCCTTCCTAAGTCAGGAATTTTTTCCAGTCGTAAAGGACAGGAGAGAAATTCAGAGTGCCTTCACTTCAGCGCGTACTGTTGACCAAATAAACCGCAAAGACCAGTTGTAAACAAGAACTTCTCCACTTCACTTTGATAGCAGTACATTGAGGAACGGGAGCACAAGTGGCACTGCCGCAATTGGTCACTTCTCTGAAGGTGCAGGTTTGACCAACAGGACACTGTATAGTTGAACATAAGGCTGAAATCGCACAATTGAAGGAATCGGCAATTCTTCAGGCACATGCAAGTTTGCTCGATTCATCACAAGTATCAAGGAAAAAATCCTTCCCAAACCATTGGTAATTCTCTCTTTTTTAAGTTACTTACCCTGATTTCCCGGCACGCAGAAGGGTAGTAGCCCAACTGGCGGAGTATTACGCGTCACGCAGACGAAATTCGGTGCGCACTGCACCAGTGGCGCATCCTCTTTGAACCACCACGCCTGCAGAAAAAATTGTAGTTGAAAAAAGTGCTGCTCCCGTTGCCAGTGAACGATTCGAAAAAAGTGCTGTTCCCCTAGCCAGTGAACGATTCTCAATGCACAGATGGGGTGTGCTAGGCATTTGATGCCGATCATGAAGTTATGAACCCTTTTCATGAAAATGAAATACATTTTCGGATGCAGACTTCCGAAATTTCACATGAAATTACTCGAAGAAGGACGACTCAAAAACAAACTTGTTAAAGAGGAAACAGAACGGAGTTGAGGAAGAAGGCTCAGAGCGATCGCTTCATATCGCCCTAGGTACGATATCCACAAAAGAGATAAAGACTTGTCAGTTGGACAGCCTATCTTAGAAACAAATTCAGAGGATTGTGTTCTTAATTATTAGATAATACACATTGAAATAATATAACATCTAAAAAAGGAGCAATCCAAAACACTCATGCATCGGTCTTACTACAGAATTCGCAAAAAAAGAAGATGAAGTTATATGAACTCACCTGGACCGCTGGTTGCCTGATTCTTCACTGTCCGGAGCACAAGCAGTACCTGTTTAAAGATATTATTCACAGCATATTCTACTGTTTTAACAATCGAGTCAGAAAATCATGAGGGATCGGCAAATGGCTTTGCTACCACACGCACAGTCGCGGGAGAAAATGCGATCAGAACTCATTCTTGCCCGTGTTTAATAACTAGAAAGATTCTTCAGGTCGTACCCAGGTTTTCAAAGCCGTATTTTGCATTACATTGGCGCATGTGCATGGAACATGGAAATAGTATGTTCCACTTTTCCTGAACGGCCCTCTGAATGATAAAATGGAAGGAAGATTGGGTCATGATCGATCTCCCGTGGTGACAAAATTTCGCATTCTCAAGTGGCGCTTGCGTGACATCGCAAAATGGTGCCTACCGTTGGTGTGGTAATAAAAATGGTAATGAATGCCATATTACCATCAGGACCATCAGTAAGATGAGTAGATTCCGCCAAAAGTTGATGCCGAAACGGTGGAGTGTTTGAAAATTTTTGACCTTTTTCCTGGCATCCAGAAAGCCACTCAAAAAATAAATCATGGGTCCGTATTCCATGCATGTGCCCCTGAATATTGCGGAAAACCGTTTTCAGAAAGAAGCGCACGACCCTAAAGACCTTTGTGGTAAGTCTTTCGTGTTTCGGAAGCCACTCACAGCCAGGGTCAACCGTCACGTTGGACAAATTTCAAAAATTTTACGACCCCCCCCTTCTGGAGGGCCTCGATACGACCCCCCCCCCAGGGTCAACCCTACCGTTGGTACTTTTTGGAAATTTTTCACGACCCCCCTCCACCACCATGAGACTCAGGAGGTCCACCAATAACGACCACCACCCTTACCATCAGAGCTGTTACTATAGTATTTGAATTTTTTTCTTAGCACTCAGCGTAAAGCGTCACACTACGACCTTCCGTTGGTGTAGGATTGACGCTGCCTCCGACCTTGCGAATACGACCCCCTTTTCGTCGGCCGAATACGACCCCCCTCGTTGGACTTTGTCCAACGGACGGTTGACCCTGCTCACAGCTGGGCTAAGAAAACAAAAACATCAACTGTACAATAATTGACCTCTGCAGTTCTTTGGATAGGTCGAATATTCTGAACAACCAGACTGATTCAAATGGAAGTCGAATGCGTTACATATCTCAAAGAGGGGTTGATCAACGCTGAGCGATTTTTACTAAGCGCTAACAGCTTCGTTATTTTGCGCTGCGATCTTTCAACGAAGTGTCGCACTATGCGAGGGGTACACTCAGTGTGCATGCGGCAAAGAATAAGCAGTTCCCTTGTGTATTGCGTGCAGAATTATTAC